TTGTCTTGCTGATGGTTGCCTGGGAAAAGAGCCCAACCCCCAGCTGGCTCCCCCCTCCTGTCAGGGAGTTGCAGAGAGTGAGGAGGTCTCCCCTGAGCCTCCTCTTCTCCAGGCTGAACAGCCCCAGCTCCCTCAGCCTCTCCTCCCAGCACTTGTGCTTGAAATAACACTTGGACAATGCAGACAACGAGGGCTTAACACCAAAGTTAAAGCCCTGCCCTGAGAGCAGACTGTGGGCAACCACTGGTTTGCCAAAATGGAGAGTGATCCAAGTGGTTGGGATGGAGCAGCCCTGGGAGCAGAGCTGGGAGACACCTGCCTTGAGGGTGCGGTTGTGCCTCTGGAGCTCCCGGCACAGGCTCTCCAGTTTGCTCCGGGCCAGGATGGCCTTGCTGTGCTCGCTCTGCAGGTGATCCTTCTCCTGCACCAGCTGTGTCTGCTTCTTCTGCAGGATCTTCATCTGCTTCTGGGAGTTACGGTGCTCTTCCAGCTGGGAAAGGGGAGCAGAGGGCATGGATGCAGCAGGGCAGGGCAGGGTAATGTGTTGTGCCCGCTGAGGGACACGGGGAGCAGAGACTGTGCTCCAACAAGAGCAGTTTTGTGACACTAAAGGTGACACTCCTGAGCAGAGCAGGAGTGACACAGAGCCCAAGGGCCCTTGGACAGGACCTTTCTCCTTCCTAAATTCCCGTTCTGCTGGAATCTGAAAGACCTGCACGTTGCCCCAGCACCTCCATGCACGTGTTGCTCCAACAGAGCTCAGGGAAAACCCACCCAGGGACACTTTGGACATGCACAGGCAGCCCCACACCTCCCCTGCTCCAGATCTGTGAAGGGAACTAGGCCTGTGCCCAGAACTAACTCTGATTAAATGTGGTGTCAGGCTTTGTGTGTGAAAACAGACCTGAGCTCCTCTTACACCCACATTTGCCAAAATTCCTCCTGTCCACGCTCACACCTCACAAACACCACCAGGTTGGACCCAGCAACACCCACCCCCTTCTATCCAGGTATCCAGCACTGCAGAGTTCCCAGGGCACTGCAAAGCTCCAGGGTGTTCCTGGAATGTCCCTCCTGCCTCCCTGAGCTGCTGTGTCACCCCCCAGCCCCAGAGGGACTCACCAGCTCAGCGTATTTCTTGCACAGAGCTGCCAGTTTCTCCTCTGATGTGCTCAGGGTGTTCAGTGTCTGCATCAGCAAAGTGATTTCCTTGCCTGGAATGAGACAGGGTGTGGAAATAAATAAACAAACTGGATAAAATGGCTTACACAGAGCTCTGGCTCGTGAGAGTGAAGAGAGGAGGGGACTGAGCAGGTCTCGCAGCCTTGGACCAGAGCTGCTGTTCCTGGGGTCTTCTCAGGACTCTGCCCCACAGATTTCACCACACACAGTGTGAAAATAAGTGGAGCAGCTGGGGAGAGACCTGGTTTTCAGAGCAGGAATCACCACTGGGCTGGCTGGAGCCAGCTGTGCCCAGGAGAAGAGAAATCCATGGAATTCAGAGGCTGTGGCAGCCCCAGGAGCAGCCCTGGGTACATCCCTCACACGCCCCCAGAACAGGACGCTGTGCCATTCCCAAACACATCCAAAGGCACAGATTTGATCAGTGCAGGATAAACCCAAGGGCTGCAGCACACCCAGGGCAGGGAACCTCTTACCTAAACCCTTGGCTTTCTTCTTCTCCTGAGCCTTCTTCTGGTCTCTGTCCCCGCCCTCCTCGGTGCCCTTGGAGTTCTCCTTCTCCCCGTTCATCTCGGGGCCGCCCGGCTCCTGCTCCCCGTTCCGGGGGGACTCGGGGCAGCCCTTGTCGGGCTCCTCGGGCTCGGGGGGCTCCCCGTGCCCACTGTCCTCTGCCGGGCCCTCCTGGCTGGCATCCACACAGTAGGTGCTCAGGATGTCCTCCAGCTGCCGGCTCAGCTCCTCGGACACATCCTGGGAGGACTTGGAGTCCTCCTGAGTGAGGGGAGCTGGGGGGGGACACACACAAACACAAAGCATGAGGGTCCCCCCCTCCACAGACAGGGAAAGGGGAGGTTTTCCTGGCTGGACTTGCAGCAGGATAAGCTGCTTTGTCTCCAGCCAGCTGCCCTGACAATGGCAGGGCATTCCCAACAGCCTCTCCTTTGATCACCAGAGCATGACCAAGCCCCTGACATCTGTCAAGAGCAAAAATTCCACCCCCAGCCCCCCACTCAACCACAAGCAGGTTGTCTGTGAGCTTTTTCCTCACCCCCTCCCCAAGAGGAACTGGCAGCTCAGATCCCCCAGGGCTGGGCTTTTTAGCATGACAATGGATTTTAAACCTGGGTGAGCCTCTGTCCTCACTGGAAGAGCAGCTGCACTGGGATCAAACATCCCTCATCCCACCCAGCAGGCATGGAGCAGGCAGCACATCCTGCCTCCAAACTTTTTCCAAGAGCAGCTGGTTATTAAAATAACTCTCCTCACTGTGTGTTTCCTCCATCCCCAGGCACGGGAGCACCAGGCAGGGTTAATTTTAACCAAGCTCCTACTCCATTACACCTGGATTTTGTATCCCAGAGAACAGTTTTGATGAGTAACAGGGAAGAGCTGCCTGGCATTTTCTGAATGGGATCCTTAAGGTCGAAGCACCAACAAACAACCCTTTGCTTCCAGGTAGAACTGACTCCACGATTCTGCCAGGAAATGGGAACTCCTCCAGGACTGCACACAGAAATGAGGAAAAACCCAGGAATTTCTGCCCTGGAAAACACAGCTGCTCATATACAAAGAGCTGGATGCAGAGAAAGCAGCAACCTGAACCCTTCTGGGCTCAAACCCACCCTCACACATTCCAGGGAATGCCAGCAGAGCCACCCCTCCATTCCCCAGGGACCCCCCCCACCTTCTGGGGGTGCTGCAGCCTCGGGTGAGTCTCCCTCCTCCAGCCCCATCCCGCTGCTCGTTTTGGAAGCACCAGAGGGACGTGGGGCTCCTTTGGTCTCCACCCCCTGGTTCTTCATCACAGCCTTTCGGCCCTGTCAGACTCTGCAGAAACAAACAGCGACTTTAGGAACGTTTGGAGGGTTTGGGGAGCCATCCACCCAGACTGGGAAGGAGCAGGAGCTCCCACCACAGCTCTGTGCCAAAGAAAGCAGGGCCTGGTTCCCAGTTTGTACCTCTTGGATTTCAGAGCTGACACAGAAACCCCCTCACTGGGATGAGGACCCAGAAACCAGAGCATCTCCAGCAGAGAGGTCAATTCCTGCTGAGCCCAAAACCCCAGACAAGGAGAACCCAAAATCCCAGCTCTTCATCCCCATCCCCATCCCCATCCCCTCACCCTCTGCAGGGCTTGGATGTTCTCACCCTTCTCACCCTCTGCTCTGCTTATGACACTAATTATGGGCTGAGGATGCTGATGCTCCTGGTCTAGAGGGGAGGGGCTGTTCCCAGTTTGGAGCTCAGGACAGTTCCGAGTCCAGGCTGTTCCTATTTTGGAGGCGAGAGGCTGTTCCCGCTTTGGAGCTCAGGACAGTTCCCCATCCAGGCTGTTCCCCGAGCAGTGGGACCCCTTCCCGTGCCCCCCCGCTCCCCGCAGCAGTCCCATCCCCTCCCGGTGCTGCTCCTGGCAGGCAAACCCGAGGGCAGAGCGGCGGCGGAGCCCGGCCCGTGTCACGGCCCGTGTCACCGCCCACGTGCGGGATCTGCGGGGCAGCGCCTTCACCCGCACCTGCCCCGCGCCTCGGGCGCTGCTTTTCCGCTGCTGCTGCAACGGGAGCGGCTCCCGGGCGGGAACCGGGGCCCGGGAGCCATAACCGGGGCTCGGGGGGGGGCAATAACCGGGGCTCGGGGGGAGATCACCGGAGCTCGGGGGAGGGGTTAACCGGGGCTCGGGGGGCGATAACCAGGTTCGAGGGGCGATCACCGGCCCCGCAGCACCCCTGGCCCCCCGGCCCCGCTCCCCTCGGCCCATCGCCCCCTTGGTCCCGGCCCCGCTCCCCCCCGCCCCGTTGCACCGGGACGCGGCTCCCGGTGCCCACCCCCCCACTCCGTTATCACCCCCGGGGCTCGGCCCAGCCGCCGGTGCCGCCCCCGCCCTCACAACCCCGCGACCCCCTCCCTCCCCCGCCCTTGACGTCAAAGCCGCCCCGCGCCCCCCCCCGCGGGGTGACGTCACGCGCGCACCCCCGTGACGTCAGCGGCGGCGGTCTGACGCAGGTGCCGCCTCGCTGCTCAGCCGGCAGGCGCAGCGCCGCGGTGCATGCGTGCCGGTGTGCCCGCAGTGCGTCCCGCCGGTGCCGGCGCGGAGGGTGCCCGTGCTGAGGGCGCCGGTACCGGCTCTGAGGGAGCGGCTCGGCCCCGGGGCCTCCAACGGCCGCGCGTGCGCCCGCCCCGCGCCGCCCCGCCAATCAGCGCCCGCCGCGCGCGGGGCACGCCGGGAACCGCCGCGGAGACGCGGCGGGAGGCAGCGAGGGGAGGAACTACAACTCCCGGCATGCACCGCGCGCGGCCCCCAACTCCCGGCGTTCACAGCGCGGAACGAGGGACAGGGGAAAGGAGAGGGAGAGGAGGGAGAGAAGAAGGAGGAACAGGAGGAGGGAAACCGGGGCCTACAGCTCCCGGCGTGCCCCGCGCACGGCGGCACTGGGAACTACAACTCCCAGCATGTCCCTCGCGCGTGGGAGCGATAAGGAGAAAGGGAAACTTGCCTATGGCTGCCGACATACCCCTGGTGGGGAGGGGAGAAGAGGAGGAGGAGGAAGGGAAGAAAATGTGGCCTACAGTTCCCGGCATGCCCCGCGCCGGGCCCTCCCGGGGACTACAACTCCCAGCATGCCCCGCGCGGACCTCATCCGTTCCCGGTCCCCGGGGTCCCCTCCCGTCCCCCCGGAAGGTCAAAGAGTAACCTCAGACCAGCCCCAAGCCCCCCGTCACACCCCACCCGCCCACCTGCGCCCGTGGGGTTCATTCCTCGCACAACAAGGGCCCTCTCGCCCCTCGTCGTGACCCCCGCGGGGGCTCAGCTCCTCCCCCGGCACCACAAAACTCTGCTGTGTTCTCCTCTGTTTTTAATGAAATCGTGGCAAAGTCACTCAAAGGGGCTCAGGCAGCTCCGTGTTCACACAGACAGGATGTGAGGGAACAGGAGAGGCAGCAGGACAGCCCTGAGCCCATGGGTTTCCAGGTGTTTTCCTGCCTCACAGCGCTTTATTTACAGGAATTGCAGAAATTCCATATATAGTTTTCTCTGTGGCCCAATTAGACAAATATCTACCTATATATAATATAAAAAATACAGAGATTTGACTTTTTTTTTTTTTTTGGAAGTAAAATGTACATTATCACAACTGTGAGCAGGATGTAAACCTGGAAACCTGGTGCTGCTGGAGCTCCCACCACCCCTGTCACCACCAAGCCTTCCTCCAAGTCATCAAACCACCCCAAGGCAGGAAAAAACCCCCAGAATTCAGCCCATGTTCTCATGGAAAATAAAGTATTTCAAGTAAAGATGAAGGTGGGTTTCAGCATTTCAGAGCTCTGGTGTCAGTCAGTACAATGCAAACCAAACCTGTGCAATGGTAGCTGTGCTTCCTGCTCCGAAAAAAAACCCACCCCAGTTCCCATCTTTGGGCTCTTGTTGCTTTTTTTGTTTTGTTTTGTTTTGTTTTTTTTTTTTCTTAAATCCTTGGAAATACCACTAGCAG